TTCATTCCAACATGTTACAAGCCTCAATGAATATCATTATAGTCCAACCCACAATAGCCTTGTAGATACATATTACGTATCTCATTCTCTCTCCTTCATTAGAATGGTTCTATATTGGAAGGATTATTATTATGGAAGAGTAATCTTGATAAACATTTTGCTGGTTTGGATGACTGCATGATATGCTTCAGTATCATTCATGGATCTAATTATTCACTACCTAAAATGATATGTAGAACTTGCAAGAAGAGATTCCATTCATCATGTCTGGTAAGGTAGTACATGTACATGTATTTTATTGAGTGTTGATACAGTGAATAGATATTACACTCATTTGTTCAGTTATTATTTATTTTATTATTTTCCTTTCAGTATAAATGGTTCAGTACTAGTAACAAGAGCAGTTGTCCACTCTGCAGGAACATTTTCTAATTTATTTTTGTGTGTCAAATTTTAATTTTATTTATTTAATATCAGCAAAATTAATCATCAAACAGCAAAAGTTGATCCAAATCATATTATTTGGATATCAAATAAAAGTGGCAGTTACAATTTTTACATTCAAAAAATCAAATTACCATATAGGGATTATATTTTACTGGAAATAAATTTCACATTTTCATTAAATTTGCAAAATTAAATTCCACAAAAAAGGTGTGACACACTAGGAAAAATGGTTGCAGAAGGCAAGATTTGCAAAATTTATTCTAACAAATTGCAAATCTGAGCAAATTCACAAAATTTTATACCAACAAAATAAAACCCCTATATGGTAATAATCATTCAACTTGAAAAGGGGTCATTCTCACAACTTGCATCCTATTATAAGTAAAATATTGCTTTACATTGTCATGATAGTGGACTCACTATTAAAAATTTCTTCTGACAAAGACCATGTAGCTCATTATGCCCACAATAGCAAAAAGTGCAATACATATAAATGCAATCATCACTTGCAAATAACTACATGAACTACCTGCTATAATAATTATTATTTTAAGAATTTTTGTTTTTGCTAACCTTTTTTGAGTTCTTGTGGAGATGGAGAAAGCACTTGAGGTTCCTTAACATTTAGAATTCTATGGCGAACTACTTAAAAGGGAAAATAATACTTATTGATATTATATTTAATTACCTCCACTTTTTTCTGCTATTTGTTTCTCTTTTTCTTCTTCCTCTGCAATATGGTAGCTGTCTTGTGCTGGCACTGGCTTGCTTTGTGGGATGTCATTGGACTCTATAATTGAACACCAACTTATTATTAGTATAATATTAATAACACATACCAATGATTTCTTCCTGTGAACAATCAATTCCACATTTTCCTACAATAAAAAATTAATAATTATGAAAACAATTACACACAACTCACTGCGTATATAATCAGCTACAGATTTTTGACTTAATCTTTCAACAGCATTAGCAAGTGAGACATAGGTGACTCCACCATTTTCATCCACAGCATCAGCTTTTAGCAACCAAGTAGCAAGGCATTCTCTAAGAGCAGCAGCTCTGGTGTAGTTGTACTGAATGTTTGAGAGTGTTGGATGTTGGTAGAGGCCTAACTCTAGACCAAGTCCCTCCCAGTCACCATTAAAATGACCTTCTCTGAGTAATTTCAATACTTTTTGAAGATGAGTGATGTCAAGTGTCTTTGAAGCTACATAATAAAAAAGATAGACAAAAGTTACACAAGCCACAATAAAATTAATAGCAAACTTGTGAAGAGAATAAGGAAAATAATTACCTTCAGTTAAGGTTTGATAAGTGATATGAAACCAACTCCAGCGCTTCTCTTGCCC